TGGCCATCTCATGAAGGGATAGACCCAAACAAAAAGTGTGCCTCAAGAGCATCAAAATCAAACAGTGGAAGGAATGTAAATGGAAATTGCTTGTTGTCTTGTTTGTAGATGGATGTGGCTCCAGACGGTTTCAAGATCGATGGTAGAAAACGTTGTTTCCTCGAGAGTTATTATTCTTTTGCGTTGCGCGTGCATGAGTGTTGACAGAGATGCCATGATGTGAAGGTAATACAGCCAGGAGTGAGTTACAAGCATGAATTTGGGATCATTATCGTACTGAACTGAGTTTTATCGCATGCTGCGGCTCGCCGTACTTCAATAAATCATATCCTCGATCCCTCTCTCAATCTTAAGCTAATCACATTCTTGATCCCCACTTGTTAATGCGACTTTTCTTCTCCCTCCTAATAAAGCATAAAGACAGGTAATAAATCCATGCAAATAGTAGTCTTAATGTCTTATAGCAGAGCATGAAGCCCTTTCAGAACAAGAGGTGCCAAAAGCAAAACAGCGGACAAGGTCATTGAACTGCAAAGGAGATTCTAACCGATGTTTAAGGTATGCTTTGTAAGAACTGGGGTTCGAATTCTGGATCATGTTATATTATATTCCTTGAAAATCAATCTAAGTAAATTAAGGAGTCAAGGGGCCACCTAGTAGAGAGTCCATGAAGCATTTTCGGGCCCAGTGGCAGTTTCTTAATGCTGCTCTCCACTCCATCCCCATGTGATCAACTCGAAAGAATACAAAGCAAAAACAACTTCTTCTTTGTTTTAAGAAAACATTAAGTAGTAACATATGCAAGTTAGTCACACGACCAATTTATTAAAGTGATCGGAACATGTTTCCTGGTGCGAAGCTAACGATAGATACCATTTTGACCTTATTAAAGTTACCTGTCAGAGAATTACTTAATCAAATAAAATAAAACTTACTTTGGCCACCTGGAAACTTCCGTTTTTTTCTTTCTTAACGTTGCCACTTGGAACTAGGAAGCTGAATTTCTTTTCATCCTGATTTCTTAATCAGTGCAAGAAGACATCAGCATAATATATAAGGACAGATGAAATGGTTTAAGTTGGTTTGTATAGAAGAGAAAAGCTTTATGAGATTGTTTGCGTATGTGAGAATATATAGGTTATATGACAACATTTGGGATTGAAAATGAAAGAAAGAAGATCCTTACCTTCATGGCTCAAGGTTGTTTCCATGACCTTGATGTGTACTACCAGAGGCAAAAGTGGTTATTCACTTGCTATTTATGGTTTTGAACTATTAATTTGAGGGTAAGAGCTTAGAAATAATGAAGGGTCAATGTAAAAGTTATATCCATTTTGGGTTTATAAATTGTGCACTATTGATGATCATTATTGGACCAATCTCTAAAGTAATATGTGTATGAGAAACATGCTTACATTCAATACATATATATTTTTTCTTCATAGTTGGTAGTGAATAGATTAAATTTGAGTAGGAGTTAGCATGTTTAGGTATATCCACTCGAGAATGTTAGTATATTAAACACTGAAGACATCCCTAGATTCAATTTGAAGGTGCTATGCTTTGGATTCATTGAGCCATCAAGCCTCAAGGATCAAATTGATGACACTTGCTCTAAGTATGTATTGTACCTCAAGAGTAACCCTAGACCTAACTTAAAACTTATGGTAATACAATCCTGATTTAGGTTATAGGTATTTGAGCGAGTTTTGGATCCATCATGATTTTGGATTCAAATCTACCTGGATCCACTTACGAGCAAGCAAGCATAGTCTTATCTAGGAGTATAAATTTTAAGTTTATCAATGAGTATCTTTCAACGTGCTCTAACAATTTAATTTATGAATGACAACTTTGATAACAAGGAGACAACAAATGATTATTCAAAACTAACAAAAAAAAAAACTAAGAGGTATGATGTTGTTAATATATACAAGTTTACTTTGTAGACTCTCATGTCTCCCTTTGAATTAGAGCAATTAATGCCACTTTTTAATTTTATTTTTATTTTGATCATCAAATTTTTTTCCTATTTGATTTGATTATTTTGTGGTCAAATTAGTGACTAATTGATCCCAATTTATTAGGGAAAAACAAAATTAAAAGAGATGGGACCAAAGTGAAAAAAATAGTGGCAATTTCAAATTGGCATTGAAAAGTTAGCTTTAGTCCTTTTACTTTTCAATTAATACATTTCAAATCCCTTTACTTTTATAAAATTTACTTTTAATATATAACTTTTTTATATCTTATTTGTTAGTTCTTGAGTTTAAAAGAGGAGAGATAAAATTACTAGATTATAATGGAAGAGAGTGAAACACATTGATTGACACTGACTTCGATCACTAAAAATATTGATTATGGTGTTAATTAGTTTCACTCAATAAGAGAAGTTTCACCGTAATATTTTTTAGCATTCAACTTTTCTAAGATGGTAGATTTATGCTCATAAAGTTCCTTGAATTGAGGTTGGTTTTTGTTTATCGATTAAATGCTATTTTAAGCCGTAAACAGGTTTAGTAAGGCTTTTATATTGTTTTTTAAGTTATCTGAAGTGAAAATGTATTTAAAATAAGTTTTTGAATTAGTTGTCGTCAAAAGCCTAATTTTCAAATAACTGGAATTGAACTAGAAACAACATGTTTTTTATTTAAAAAACTTTCATTGATAATATTTAGTTAATTTAATCCTTCATATCAACAACAAAAAAACTCACCTATCTCAATTGAAAGAGTG